ATGCGGGGCGCGAGGCAGAAACACAAAATAACGACAATGTGACCATTTTGCCGTACTCTTGCTCTGCGGGGCACCAGGCAAAAACATAAAAAAACGGCAAAGTGGTGTTCGTATTTTCATCTGGCGGGGCGCTGAGCGATATACGACATGACACAAATCAGCAACCACAAAATGTGATATCAAAAATTGCGAGAAAGTTGAACTTTTTGTTATCTTTGTTTTTTCCCCATATTTTTGTGGCGAAAAACCCGAAAATACGCCATGGTGTAAATCAGCCACCATACGAAGCATTTTTCAAGTTTGTGACGCTTTTGTAATCTGGTCCTTGGCTACGCGTTATTTGAACGTTTTCCAATATAGATATAAAAGAAAAACTTTACCAGTGACTTGTTTTTTTAAGATCAAAAATAGATTATTTAGATGACACAAACATGGTTACTGTCAACAAGCCAAGTACGCCTTTATAAAAGTATTTGAACAAATTATTTCTTTACGCAAATTATTATTGAAATATCAATAAAAAAAATAGCTAAGTTGTTTACTATTCTTATATCATTTATTTTTCATAAAACATTCTTTCAATTCTTTAAATTAAAATATTTTGTCCTCTTTTACGACAAAAATGACGATTAGTCTAGCAAACTAAATATATAAAAGATATGCAAACAAAATATCAATTGAAAAAGCTTGTTGAACATTTTAACTTTTATAAATGTAAATTAAACAAATTTAAATAAGGGTCTTTCAAATAGAAAATAAATTCTCTTTGAAAGACCTTTTTTAAATCAACAGAGAATTTGCCTGTTTTTCTTCTCGAAGTGTTGCAATATAATAATGAAAACTGATAATTTTTTTAAAAGACATACCTACAGAAGAGTATACTGACCCCCTTGTATAATTTATACGCCTGTTTAAAATAATACAATACATGATTACAACATAGTTCGCAAAGGTTTTTTCTTTTCTCTGGCTATAATACTGTTAAAGATACATAATTATTTTAAACTTAAGACTTTCTTAAGAACTTACTTTTATTTATAAGAAATATATCAAATAAATAAATATATTTCCTCTATAATATACTTATTATAAAATTAAATATACTTATGTTTTTTCTTCTTTTCATTGAAATTCTACTTTGGAAAGCAGACGTTTACATGGGGTAAACCGCTTTTATTTATATTTAAAAATGTATGTTTTCGGGGAATTATTTGTTCTACAGATATAGAGATGATATAATCATGTGTGTGTGTGTGTGTATCTCTACCTGATAAGTAAGCTTAGATGTATATTTTATGTGTTTCACAAGGTAGTTTAAGAGTAAGTATCGAACAATCGAAGTCGCTGTAATTTAACCCAAGATAAAATCAGCATAACTAATAACTTAAAAATATTAAGCATATCAGTTATTTTTATTTACAAAATGTACATGGTTTTTAGTTCAAATCGAGAAAAGGCATTTTGATATCATCATAATAGAAGCGACTTATTACACAAAAGACAATCTAATTCATTTCATAATTTCATACATTATTTTTCATGAGATTCATATGATAAAGGCTTAAGTGCACATCTACTGTATGTTAAGAAGAACCTTCTGTTCTCTTTAATTTTGCAACCATCATCGAAGATACTATGCATATTTGTGATTTATGGTGTATTATAACAGATAAATTCTTTAATATCTATTTTATATATCATATTACCTATCAATATTTTAAAGATATGTATTATATAATGGTCTTTTTTCTTAAGAGCATATAAAATACATAAGGGGAGTCAGTATACTCTTCCGTACATACCAAATGATTGTGTTGAATATACTGAATCATTAAAAAATTGTAAAAACGTTTTCTGGTCTCATTTGATTGAATGAAATTTAACATAAATCTGGTTCCTTCACTTCAGTTAAATCCTGCAATAGTATTTTAGTTCTATATTTAACTAAATGAAATTTTTACATTTCTTTGTTTTATTTTTATCATTATTGTTATATCCATATACAATATCATTATCCATAATAGAAAACTTTGTATAGAAGACCACAAACAACTTTGTTCAAATTCTGATATTTTTACCCGGTGTTAACTTGTGGGTCTAGCATTGTATAATAAACCACTTGTAAGTTAATGGCTCTTTAGTAAAATGTCGGCCCGTCTGAAACTATTTTCTTCTTTTATAAATATTTTGATCCAAAATCACCATGCTTTGATCTTAGATATTTAGTTTGTTACATCGTCTTATGGATCTTAACCATAATTGTTCTAATTATGGCCACGAAAATAAGTGTTGACCTACATTGTTTGACATGGTGATGGTATATTGACCATGGAACGAAAGCCTTGACATTGAAGCAAAACACACAATATGATATTTTATTGTATTAGGATATCAGTGACCTTGACTTTGACAGACTGAACTACATTTACCTTGGGTTTTAGATAATGAGCATATTTTCAGATGCAGAACTGAACACAAATTTAAGCTGACCTAAATTTTACCTTGTGATTCAAGTTTTGTTGTAATTTTACCTTTCTTAACTTTTCCCTTCATTTGATGTACCATTATTTTTATATAGAAGTTGATATTGATTTTGACCTTGCAACATATTTTTCAGATTGTGAGCTTCAGTTTTAGACCAATTATTTTAATGTTATGCCTGCCTTTATTTAAAATAATCAATATTATTATCTTTGTCCTTATTTTAATGTTATGCCTGCCTTTATTTAAAATAATCAATATTATTATATTTGTCCTAAACAAACTGCATTCAAGCGTTTGTGCTATCATTTAGCAAATTATTGAGAGTTTCAAATTCCATTTAATCAGTATTGTCCATTCTTTTCTTGTTTAGGGCACTTAGGGATATTATACTTAGGACAATATGCCGCATTTCATAGAATAGCTCTCACATGTCACTTTAAAAGTTCCGTGATAACAGCCATATGAACACATCTGCGGATGTTCCAAAAACTTTTACCAGCCAGTTAATGTTAAATCCTCCGTTTAAGCCGGTGCTAGAGGGCATAGACGGAAGCTTGTAATTACCACAACCGAAATTGAACAGATTCAATCAAACCGAGCCTGTAATATTTATATATTTTCCGTGTTGGGATTCCTTTAGTGGTCCTGTTTTACTCTATTATTTAGCAAGTCATTTTCAAAAACGATGGAAAAGAATGACATTAAATATGTTCAATGTAGCAATGGTCAAGTGGAAAAAGTGACTGTTTCTCAACCAAGTTGGGGTCCTGTTGTTGGGCCGCAATCATATTTCCTTGTTTGACCAGTTTCGATTAGAACTATGAAAATTTGAAAAATTGATATTAACTTTACATCTTGTTATAACTGTTTTTAGTTTTGTTACAAATAAATGATCAAAAATTGGCGTGACCTAGCCTGGGATTCAGGTGTTGATATTTTTCCTTATTCATAACATACGCACTATTTCATACTCGATCGTATTTTGATTATATCAATGTCGATTTGCCGAACTGAAACATATAAAAAATCGACAGACCTGTACCCAGGCTAGGCGTGACCCATAGATATATCTTTAAATAGCCGTTACGTTAACGTGATAAACAGCGTGGGGTAATCTTAATATATATAAACAATTTTAATATTTCATGAAATAATTTTGAAAAATTAAAATCATGTTGAAGTACCTTTGATACATTGACATCAATAGCATTCTTTTCTAACATGTAAACCAGTTTAAGAGCACATGACAAAATGTATTGTTACCATTTTTTTTGTATTGTATAAATAATACAAAAGGATTCGAACTTCCTGGTCGATACGAATACATTCGAGAAAACCATTCCAAATATACTACGCATTTCAAATAAAATTAACGAGCACAACAAACATATTGTCAATTGTTCTCATCACCACTAATAGTGAATGTACTGGTTTTTTAACAAGGATTAGTAAAATAATCAGGTAGTTTTACAAAATTTTCCTTTACATTGTTATTGAATGTGTACGATTTTGTTTTATTGATATAAGAATGAAATTATTTACCGATACTTTCAGAGATTTGTTATGATTAACATGTATCGCACGATAAACCTTCGATTTGTAAACTGTAACATAAAACGGATATGGTATCTTTAACGATCAATCTGATACTTTTAAAGATACAGACAAATAACCTTATGTTGAAGTAAGAGTTCCTTGGAATATATAAATGTCATCTGTTAAGTTTTATGTAAAAAAGGAGAAAATAAATCAACGAGACAAGACTAAGTCAACAAGTCGCTGCCTAAACCATAGTACTGGAACCTCTCATTACTTATATTAGTGTTTTGCAAGCAAAGTCATATAACACAAATGATGGCACAATTTATGAAACCGTGAAAATTGTGGAAAACCGGCCTCATTTACGAGTGTTTCTCCCTTTTTTCTTCTTTTTCCTTGGTTCATAAACTATGGGATATCTTTGTCGAATCATCACAGTGACTGCAAACAAGACCTGGTTATCTTCACATGATCCGAAACATTGAACACTTAGAAGTGTGTCAATAAAAATGTTTCTTTTTCAATTTTAACAGTTTTTATTTTGTGAATGTTATAAATTAAATATTATATTCGTGTAAGGTCATTACCGAATTGAACTCGTTAAATGAAATGATATTATGCGTGTCTCTGGAGAGCATAATATAATTTTATTCAACTCGTTCAATAAATATAATTTACTTTTATTCAACTCGTTCAATGAATTCTATATTGCACTAACCTCATTCAATATCATCTATGTATTGATTATTCCACTGTTTAGAGGACATGTTTCGATATTTGTCGCTTAAACATCTTGTGCGCAAATTATAAAATGTGAACACGCGGTCCACATAGATCTACCGGCACGCGCGGGTATCTCATATAATTTATTAAAACATACTAAGGACAGGTGAAATTAAGTAACACAGGTGTAAGTACACAAAAGATACTTTCGTGATATTTTCCAAATTTACTTTCTTTTAAGTCCCCAAGAAATATAGTACCAGAGCCGTGGGTGCTACAGCACCAATACCATCATGAGACGACTGGGTGGAGTGTCATATTTAAGCATTGGAAAAGGTTTCCGAAGTACAGCATATCCAAGCAAAAGTAAAAGTATTAGCCGCCAAATCACAAATCTTCCACATGTACGTACTAGTTCACATTTTATTAGATGATGCAACTTAGTATCCCAGTTTGATTGTAACTTGCAAAATTGTAAAAAGGTACTATATCTTTAAAATAGTAAATCTATTGGATCAATCAACTCTAGTTTCAAGTATTTATATAACCAAATATTTAACTTAATATTGCCGTATGGAATATTCTGATCATGCGCGTGTACATGACAAATCGCGCGAGTGTGTGTGCGTGTGATATAATAGATATGTATTAAAATATAATGTGAATAAGAATAAGTGTGAAAAAAATGTGACCTCAAATTGTTGAAACTGCTTCTTTTAAATAATTTTTATTTAAATCCTTGCAGATACCATTGCATTACAATACAACTAATTGCGGATCAAGGAAAAGACCATCATCAGAACGACTGCTGCCGGTAGGTGGTAAAAAGACGAAAAATATTACCACAACTATGTCTGGAGGAAAACCAGCAAATATATTATCAAAACTCAAGAATGAGACAAAACCTGAAACCTCAAACAATACAGGCCGTGTTTGTAACAGGATTTTTTTCAACAGAGCCAGACTTGAACAGCACACAAAAGATACTGGCCATAGACCAAACCCTCACTCTAGGATACATTGTTCCGTTGGGACCACCTTTTCCTCGCATCGTCAACCTCTGATAATTCTTAAACGCCGAAGCGAAGAAACGACACACTGTAGCCCCGAGAAGATTCGCCGCACAAGGGCAAAAGAATATCTGCACGACTTCCATAAACGCAAAATAGCTATAAATAATTCGAGTAAAAAGGATTTTGTTAAACTTGTTGACGGAACACTTCGGAAAATAATGAAACATGTGATGAATTCAAAGGGATGCAACATTTATTGCCAAAATTTAGTGAGAGCTGGCAGTTTCAAGGAGAAAACTAAGATAGGAAAAGCTGATGAATTTGATACATACATTGTTTGTTACATTATTCCTGATAATATAAGAACTCGAGGCACAGTTGATTTCGAATACCAGCCTTTGGGGAAAATGGTAATAGATTCTTACTGTCTTAAATAACGTTACCTTTTGTAATTTTAGGCCGATTATGATTGAGAATTGAAAAAATTTCTTTGATAGAAAAGAAAAAGACTTTGTTCAATTGATTTAAATATATGTTGTGCATTACAGTAAAGCGATGACTTGTATCATTTTTCATCTTACATCAATCGTGACAGTATTAGAAATCATACAAATTATATAAAAAAAAATATTTCATTTTGCTACTATTAGACATGAATTTGATGTATTTAGCTGATCAAGTCTTCGGCAAATCATCTGGAGAAATAAATTGTTATGATAAATTTAGTAAAAATATAATAACATAAAACAACTAATTAAGTAATCGTAAGATGGTTATGCAATACAATATTTTCGTTGAACCGAGTTCTTCATGTTGCTCTAAAAATGCAACAATCGACTTAACACAAAATTACATTACATTTTCATACTTCCATAATTCCAAAATAACTTGTTTCTTAAGTTATTATACATGTATAATTACGTAATACTGAACTCTCAAATTACAAACGTGGGTAAAGAGCTATGTTGCAATTAGGAAATACGATCATGAAATAAGTAGAATTTTGCTTGTTTTATCTGTTTTTAATATTACCATAAATCTACAAACTAATACAGTTACTAATCAAATCATGAAGTAATTATATTGTTTTTAAGTCATGTTAAGCTTTGTTTTAATTATATTAAATATTTTGACCAAATACCAGTTCAAATATCGTTTACATTCTTCCATTGAAAAACATCTGTTTCATTGGAAAGCTTGAAAAAAAAGATTTTCATAACATTTCTTAAAGACGAAAATAAATTCCCTAATCGTGTTGATGAATATATGTTTTAATAATTCCAACCGTTCTGCTTCCTTCGTGATCATTGATTATATATTTGATAACAACATATATCGATACTGCATCAAAACGTTTCATTTTTTGTACATACTAAGATCTGTCTGAATATTCAGTTAAGATATTATTTGTGATTAACAACTTTATTTATAATTAAAATTAGCAAAACAATGAAATAAAAACTAAAATGAAAAAACATGGAATAAATACTTATGATAAGTGCTTAACCCATTACTTCATATAAACGTCCTTACAAGCCCCACCCCCTTTTTGAGGCCTCAAATGGTGAATAATGACCTATTTAGACCTCAAACCCCTTCGACACCAAGAAGATTTTGGACTAGTGAGAGGCAAAAATTGGCCTAATGGTCGATCAGTTGGTAACGTGTAACAACGCTGAAAAGCCTTTGACTCAATCTAAATGCATTGAGAAGTTGCAGCACTTTGAATTCAGTCTTGATGGAAACAATCAACGCAAAATTGTGATAAATAACAATTTTGAGATTTTCCATTGTTGACATGGTTACAGGAAATTTAAGATTGAGGATGCCGTTACAAAGGATATGTTCCACTTACCATTTGTGCCAAGTTTGTTGAACATTGAAGTATCTTGAATAGTTTCATAACAATAACAATTTGAACTTCGAGCAGGAGACTTTTCAATGAAAACAGATATTTTTCACAAAATGCTAATGCAGTAATGGCTTAACAAGACGACAAAATCGATTATAAACATATTCCTAATACTCCAAAGGTATCTCAGAGGAACAGCAACATTAAGGTGTTGTATGACGTTACAGTCATATTTTGAATTAGGTATGGTGCAATCTCAATCTTTATTGTTATTCTATTACGTAAACATTTAATCTTCAGTTAATTCTCTATATTTTTACTTAAAGTGACATTATTAGCATGTTTATCAAAGTTGAGCTGAATTGACCAATTCAAAAGATTGACTATTGTAATGGTGATTGTATTACCTGAAAACGTTAAAGATAAGATTCATGTATAGATATGCCTAAAATATATAAAGGACTTTCCAAAATGAACATTAATACCGTTAGGTATTTTTGGCTACATGAGTTTTGATAACGTTCATGCGAAGTAAAATATAAAATTGAAAAGATTTATGTCGAAATATAGTATTATTTTAACCTGGCCATGCACTATATACTGTGGGTGGGCATAATGTCTCTTAAAGGTTTTGATAAAAAATCAAATTTCTGGCGTCATCTTCAAACAGATTAACCGCATAAATATTCCAAACATAACTTCTGAATGTGATTCATCATTGTATAAGATTCGGGATATTTCTAAAGTATATAATAGACCGGCATTGAAAATGACGTTGGCGCATTTCAATATTCATCATTGATTAACGCACAACATTCGCGTGGATATAACCGTGTCTTTGGATTGTAATATACCAATGTTGATATTTGGATGGCCTAGAGTAAAAAAACATAAACAGACGTTTTACAATTCATATAATAGAGATTAATAGTTCCAAGCAAGCTGACATACAGCATACTCTGAACAATCTGGCGATATATTTCCCTATGGCAGAGCAAACACTTCTATCGCGGTTGAATAAAGATGACGGCTGCAGAAAATATGTTTCTAAGATAATAAAGAAATTCGTGATGAATTGCAGCTCGCAGTCAATCTATGGACTTTCTGGAATGTCCTCTTTTATCATAAGATATATTTATAATGTTTGTTCAGACATATTACACTTAAACTAAAAGACAGTAAAGCTGTTCATAATATGTTTCTTGTGCTTAACGAAGCTTCTCTGGTTATGCCCCGAGGGTTGAAACACGTAGAAAGATCATGCCTAATCTTTACAACTTTCAAACTGCATAAAGAGCTTTCCTAAGTAGACCATTTCTATTCTCGTGTCAATCTTAGTGGTAAGTGTGTGTAAGTTTACCTTTTTGTACATTCCCTTTGAAAAATCTTATGACTTTGAAGTTCGTCACAACAAAGATGCTTTAAGTATGCTCATCAAATTCAGCTAACCAGAATATTATATTCTTCATCATAATATTACAGGAAGGCATATGTTGCTCTATTGAAATCAATATCATTTGGTTTAGCTGTCTTTAAATTGTTTTAATACAATCATTAGGACTGGTGTAATTTCTCATTGGGTTTACTACATACTGCACTTTAAAAACTGAAAACTTCTGTAAAAAAGAGACCAGAGATCAAAAAGGCAATGGCAACGTTCACAGATCGCAACCCATGTCATAATCCAGCCTTAACAGCAGGACACCAGTAGGAAACGGACCAAATACGGGAGAGGAGACAAGGTCGGCGAAAGGATGAGATGACATGTAATAAGGGAAATGATAAGAACTGAAAAGGGCCGATACGGGAATTGAAGAGACTATGGGTGTAAAAAACAATTTCCTTAATACAACAATCAATCTTTCGCAAATATCATCACTCGCGATAAGACGTGGTTCACTTTTATGAGCCCAAGCGAAAGATTCATTACAAAATATGGGCAACAATATGATGTCAAAGACCTTGCATTGCAAAACGCTCCGTGAGTGTCAAAAAGATTATGTGTGTAATTTTATTTACCAATTAAGGGCCTGCTATTCAAATTGCCGTACCAAAGGGTGAATCTGTAAATGTCAAGTTTTAGAAAGGCAAGGTCCTTTTTAAATTAAAAAAATAGCTTTTTAAAAAGTCGTCGACCAGCAACTTGTCTCCGTGGTGTCAGGTTGTTGCATGACAATGCTTTATCACACAAAGCGGTTATTGTACGAGAATACCTGAATAAGGACAAGGTTGTCGAGCCCTCTCACCCTCCGTGACTTTTTCCTATTTCTGAGGCTCAAAAAAACATCTTGCTGGAAGAAAATATCAAACGCGAAAACATAAAGTTTTAGCTTTTTTCCAGTATCTGAACAGTGTACGTACCTCGAAAAGTTTATGAAAACGCATTTAAAAATTGAATTAAAAGACTAAAAATTTGTTTATCACATGGTAGTGAGTATTTTTTTAGGATTGAGATACATGTAATTATTTTGGCACTGTGTGTTAACAATGTCATCCAAAATACGTATATATCTTTTGGTTTTTTGATGATTAAACTTTATATTTTGATTGAATTTACACAAAAGAAAATATTGCTTTTCACACTAAATTCAACAAGTCTTTGATATGTATTGATGTCGGTTTTATTTTTATACATGAAGCAAAGTGAATATTGTGTCAATTGTGCCAGATGTGTTCGTACATATGAGATCTTGATTAAAGATATTCTATACTGTATAAATGTGTTTTGTGAGGTAAAGTAAATAAAACGATAGTAAACCATACGCAGCCCAACTGTAAAATATTTTCTCTTTTTATAAACATTTGTAAGTAAAGATATTGTTGTCAAATATTATTATTAGTGACCTCATTGTGAATAAATCTTCGGGCTTTCATGGGCAATCTGAGATAATTGCATATTATACACGCTTTAACCTACATTGCGACATTCTCTATAATTGACAAATTAATATCTAGAGATAAATTTGGTCTTGTCTTAAAATGTATTTTTTTGTAATTTTTAGTTATCTATTATTATTAACTATGTATTATTTAATGAGCCTACTGCGATAGTTATGTTTGAAAAACTTGCGAAATATTTCATTACAATTTTGTTTTAATACCTTTTTATATAAAGATCCATAAGTGTTTGTATTATGTTAATGTGTGTTTTAACCTAAATAAATATATAGAAAAATCTATCAATATAACTTTATATCATTTTTATCGTGTGATTACAACTTATTAGCCAACAACATTGTCAAATTTGATACGAGAAATTTTGCCAGAAATTTCGAATTTCTAATATAGACATTTCAATTGATAATATTGAAAATAAATAATTATTTGAACATTGTTAACACTGTTATACTTTATTCGAGTCATTGACAACATTAATACTACAACGCTTACGAACACTTACCATAGCATTTTTGATTGACATAGGAGGATACAATATCACAATACCAGACCAAATTTTTAAGAAATTAATTTTTAGCAATTAAAAAGTATAAGTTTGTTAAATGGATAAACACAGACACTACATAATGAAAACATTAAAAAAAGAAGTATTTCTGCAATTGTCCGTTTTTATGTCTTTTCAAACAAATCTCAATCCTTGCAAATACTGTATGAATATCAAGAATACTACACAAATATATAAAATGTACGTGTAATTTGAAGAAAAAAAATGTTCCGCGATCCTCATTCAAATATGTTATAACTGTTCGAAAAAAGCACATTTGGTAGGAGACAAATTCTTTTCACTGTTGATTGTAATTTTTCTAAGGTACATACTTTTTCACAAAAAAGACTTCATGACTACAAATTTAACTTCCTGGCCGATACAAACTTTAGAAAGATATGTGAACTTATTATTTGAGATATACTACGCATTTGTATACGAAACCATTGCAAACTATTCTTAAACGCATTTGTGCAAACACAACTTCATTGTGCAGTTTAAAATTTTGAGTCACTGTTAAGAAAGGAAAATGAGTAATTCTATTACATTTTTGTAACTTCGATATTTGAAGAGATTTAAGCAATAAATTGAAATATTATTGTCACCATTAGAAATATTGAGTTAAAGGACAATAAAAAATAATAATATCTTGTTTTGCATGCAAATGTTCGAATAAATTCCAATAAAATATCGTGTTTTTATTTGTTCAAACGTTTTATCTTTTGCATTGTGTTTATTAGATTAAACATATTTTTTTCATAATCATACACAGTACATAATATACAATCATTCAATATATACAATGTTGAAATGGATTAGAACGTTGTGTTTATTCGGTAAATATACATATTCAGTGCTTGTTATTTAGCCATTATTATATGAATGTTTCATTTAAAAAAGTGTACTGAAGAATATTATTAATTAACCTTCTGTGCACAGTCTTTTGTAAATTATATCAAATGCGATAAAGTAATAAACTGGTGTATTGTTTGGTTTGGCAATATCACCTGAAACATTTAACTATTCAGTGTTTTTTTTCTTCTGTATGTTTGATACATTGCACGAACGTATTTCAACTTGGCGGCGAATACTTAACAAACTCTAGAAGTATGGATGATAATGTGTTTGAGATCTTTCATAATTTATTATTTAACATCATATTATTGGAAGAAAAACATAGTTTACTCAGAACCTCAAAATAATGCACACGTTAGACACATTTCATATTGTTTTAAACGAAAAATTGCTGTGAAAGAAAAACATATCTTAAAAAGATACCAGAAATTAAACAAAAATCATCTATTCAAACAATGTTTCACATACTTATTATGGAATGGACAACGCACGCTGTACCAACGCTCGTGGTTATTAAAAAAAGAAAAGGGACTCCGCCCAAATATTTTGACATGACGGGACGGAAAATATTTACTTTTTTTTTTTCAAGCTTAAAGTTATATTCCCGTTGAACGATGATATTTTACCGTACATCTTAGTTTTAATAAATTTTCACCTGAATCATAACTATATCCTCATTGATGATGAACTGCTATACAATTTTATTTGATGAAGGTGTAGACGAATAACTTGCGAATAAAATTCAGACCATTCACAGACTTCGTTTTTTTCCTGACAGAATAATTATTCTGATTGTGAAAAATGGTGCAAACTCTCAACTCGGTCTCAGAATACCATAAAATTACGAGTTTTCAATTTATTTCTGAGTATATTTCTTTATTATTTTGCATATCATTCTGTTAAAGTGCCCTAGCTGAACTATTCCAAAAATTCTAATATTATGTTTTAAGGCTTTTGGACTCTCAGTGGAATTTCAATACAAGTCTTTTATGATCGTTTTTATGTAAATATTTAAGATATTGGTTTTTATACAAAAGTTAAAAGAATAGGTAAGACATTGACATGAGATAACTAAACATGATAACTCAACATGGAAAAGTGCTTTTATATACATGTATATACACATTGTATATACAGTGCCTTTTATGTTGAGATGACATAGATTAGATATTTTACAAACGTCTAATTGCACTTGTTAAGATAGTATATTAAGATGTTACACCGTAAACATATTGATAAATATCTGATTATAATCTTTTAGTTCATGAATATTGTAAACTTTGGACAAAGTTTATCTGTTAGGGAAATGTACCATTGATTTCAATACTGTTATCAATGTTTTACACTTAATTGCGCTTCGGATAATTATTTCAACATATACACATGGATGTTTGATGTGAGAGTTAAGACGGATAGAAAACAATTCATTCTGGTGTTGGTGTAGATTTTTTTACATATTAAGATTTGGGCTATTGGATTTCTTAAAGATTGCACAGTAAAAGAGAGCGGATTTGATAACACCATATATATGCAATGCTTATTTGAATATAAACAATATATCTAATCAATTTAAATAAAGCAAAGTGAAACAATTGAACGAAACACTTCACTTCTGAAATACGGAATTAAATTTCTCTGTTTAACACAGCTGCAGAAATAAAAAAAAATTCCAATATCTCTGTCGACAGTATTTTTACGAGAATAGTAATGTCAGGAGTTTGGGTAAAAAGTACGGGTGCTACGGCAATATTTTAACCTGACAGTGCCACTAGGAAACCGAATGCAGTATCGACAAAAAGTGTTAGCACAACCGGATGGCCCATAATGCAAGGTCTAAATCCTTCAAACCAAATTACAAATTTACCAAGCGTACGTATAAATTCATTTTTTATTAAATAATGTATTTGAGAGTCGTAGCTTTGTGGTTACTGTTGAGGTAAACATGAGTAAAACCACGTTCCTTTAAATGATGTAAATGATACAAAATAGATCAGCTATAAATGGTTAAAAAACTAGTTTTTTCGCACTAAAACATAAAAATGTCTAGATGACTACCGGGTAGATGACTAATATACAAGTACAAGTATGTTTCGACTGAATTTAAATGTTAGATTAATAATGTTAAATATGTCTTTTGAATTATAGAATAATAGGAATTTTTTTTAAAAATGTCATCTGTTTCTGCTTAACAGAAAAACAACTTTCGGATACGAAAATTAATGCGAATGGATTTATTTGTACTTATTGACATTCAACGAAAAATATGTCAAATAATCAAAATCAGTTCAAGAATGCCCATTTTAAACTAATCATAACTAAGTTTCGTCAACGTGTATATGGTTTGTACTTTCAGTTTCTAAAAAATAATAGTGAGTTCAGTATATGAATTATGTACTTTTTACTTGTACAGTTGTGTGTTTGGTAAATTTGAGTGCACTTGTACATGATAAAATGAAATGACATAATATACCAAATTCCAACTACATACGATTTGTTTGCAAATTTAACTTTTTAGCGTAATTATACCGAAATACCATATCCCATCTGTTCTGGTTACTGATAGGTATCAGTAACCCAGGGTATGTGTATTGAGTTCGAGGTCTTTCTCCGATGATTGACGGAAAGGGCCGAAAAGTTGCAAATCATGTAAAGCATCTCATAAGACTTTAATCAACCCTTTTCGTTTTAAACAATAACCTTCAAACATATAAAAAGTAGTAAAAATCTATAACACTTTTACCATCTAGGTTTTAAGTATAAAAGACCTGTGGATTTTGCTTTACTAGAATTTCTAACTTTTCTTTTCTGCTTGCAGATGTCGTTGATAAACAACAAAATAAATTTTTCATCACGGAAACGGTCGTCATCAGAAACACCCCTGCATGTATACGGGAAAAGACCGAACTTTATGACAAACGTACAATCTGGAGAGGGTAGAACACAAACAATATTGCCATTGAAAAGTAATGGAGAGAAGGTGTCACAATTATTTACGGTACCGAAGCATGAAAATATATCGTCAGCTCAACTGGAACACACCAGCGCTCTGTCCAAACTTTCAACGTTGCATGGATGCTTATCTTTATCTACACCAAGAACTAATTATGCACCGTGTAAACGAAAACTTTACTTAGATAATATATTGGAAGAAATTACTCTTAATAAAATTGACAAACAACAATCTAAGCGCCTTGTGGATCAAACTCTGAACTCAATTACTTCAAGATTTGATAGATATCAAGATGGCGGAATCTACAGACGTCAATATATTGATGCTGGAAGCTATCCTGTGAGGCTGAAGATAAACAAAGCTGATGAATTTGACGTCAATATTCCTCTCAACATTGACGTGAAAAGAGTTCGATGCACTGGCAATGTAAACTACGTTTTCAAAGACGTGAGTTGTTTCCCTTCGGTCGGTTTCAAATTCCCTATTTCGTATTCTAGGTTCATTTCGGTTTATCAGACATATTTCTTTTTATTTTTGTCCTTATAAGATTTTGTCATGGAGGATTTTAATGAGAAAGCATTTAATCAAAATTGAATTTCGAGATACAAACGACTCGCTTTTAGCCTTTTTGAAGTTAACTTTATTGCGAAAATATATTTACGTAAGCATTAATGTAAGAACTACTTCAGCAATCAAACTGCTCACCTGATACATGTATTTACATTTTTAGAGTACTATTTATGCACGCTGAAAAAAACAGGCAGATAGAGTTAAAGCAAAGACTTATCTAAAGTAATGTAGGGTTTATATCAATTTCAGCAAAGACCAATTTTGTGTTTGGAGAAACAGCTTTTCTTTGATCCACAAGGAACGGCGATTCCTCTAGGCTATGCTGTTGTTGAAGTAGAGATGTGTAATGGAGGATGCAATCCTTTTTTGCCACGAAATAGAAATGAACTTCCGAGAAAGTTCTTACATATTGGTCTTCCAATACCTCGGCAGGATGCTCAATATCGTTACTACATGTTCCATCCCAGATATAGGTTTGGCTTCATGGATTCATTACAAAGATCAAACATAAGTTCAACATTTCAAAACCGTATTGAACTCATTCCAGCTGATGTTAAGAGAGATTTGTTTGAGAAAATACAACGTGCAACATCTTTTCGATGGAATCAGCGTAAGTAGAAAAATAAATATATCATTTTCAAAACAAAGTCTCAATGTAAATATAACAATCGATTGTTTAAATCTTATTTGGGTATACAGTAGCATATCTGATACTTCAAAAAGTTTCTATGAAGATAAAATGTACAACGTAAGTAGTTCCTTCATCGAAAAAAAATGCAGATTCTTTGAAGAGAACTAAGCAATATCTTATATTTTCTTAGAATACAATACTTGTCACAATACTTCGATCAAATTGTGTTTATGTCACTAGTAAAAGTGTTACATGGGGTCGATACAAGGTTGAATTTATTTTGAAATGGGAAATACTTCATGCATTTGAGCTTCCTTAGTCGATCATTGTGTGTACAAGTATTTTGTTATGAGACGAGGTTTGTTGAAATTTTACAAGCTTAAGTTTGGTGCACAGTGTAATACAATGTACACATCTATTATTTTAATTTGTTATTATACCTTCAAATCGCGTATCAGTTTGATGTATGATAACTTATCTTTAATATAAGTGCGATAACGTTACATTTTATATCATCATTTTTGGCACGACATTTTGACACAAGTATCTCATCTTTTTGGCAAGCGAAATTCCGTTTGCTTTCCATTTTCAGATTCAGTGCATGTTTCTAAAGTAAATTATGGACCGGCATTAAAAATGACGTTGGTGCCATTTCAAGGTTCACCAGTAAAGCACAACATTAACGTGGATGTAACCCTGTCTTTGGAGTGCGATATACCTCTGTCGAGGTTTGGATGGCCGAGGGAAAAAACAAAACAAGCCTTTGAGCGGAATGTTATAGATGAAGTTTTGAACGCAGGAATACATCTTGTACCAAAGAAAGATTTATTTTGGGCGATATCTTTCTCGAAGGCAGAAAGAGCTCTTCTATCGCGATTGGATACAGATGGCGGCTGCAGAAAATATGTTACTAAGATAATGAAGAAGTTCGTGATGAATTGTAGCTCGCAGTCCACCAATGGACTTCCTGGAATATCCTCACATATTATAAAGGTACCTTCATAGCATTGATTTATAAATATTGACGGTTAGCCTCCGATTGAAACATAATTATAATCATTATTTGAGATACAACTTATGAATAGTATTTTATTTCATTTCATGTATCATAATTAAAAATTGGTAAAAGTTAGCGACGTCATACAAAATTAACTTGTTATTTGCGGTAGTGGGTGGAAACAAAATTATGATATCAGAACATGTACTTACGCTTAACTGTACAGATAAATTTTAAGGTTTTCCTTAAATAATATAAATAATTTAAAAAATTTAAAATCGATGTCACGTGTAGTTTCCTTCTTTCTGTCTGTTTTCTTTCTTCCATACCTCTTTCTTGCTTGTTTTTATAACTACCAATTGAAATCATTAAAAAGTAGCTGTTGATATGTCCACTCTCTATTGACATCTTAAGTTCATTTGGTTTATATCCGGAAATATATCTAATTATTCTTAAGAGTGCAAACTGAATGTTTTGAAAACATAAGTAGGGTAATATTATCATATTATTTTGATCTTCAGATTCAGAACATAGATTTTACAAATTTAAATCATATTCATCACCTGTTCATGTAACATCACAATAATGCGAAAAGAGTGTTCGTATATGTTACAACAATAAAGTCTATTCAAATATATCTTATACTTCCATGTAACATTACTGTTAATTCAATATAACTGTTCATTTAATATATTTTCTATGATTTCTTCTTATATTACTGTTAACCCGGTTCAAATGGATAGAGTGGCGGCGTGTCCGAGTGGTTAACGCATCGGATTAGTAATCTAAGATTACTGACCACGTGGGTTCAAACCCTGTCAGAGGCAAACCGTCGTTTCTTGGGGCAAGAAACTACATTTATTACTTAATTATTACTGATTGGTTCCTAGAAAGGATTCACAAGTGTTTCAATAAGCTTCCAGCATCCAAAACAATCGAACTATAAACTAAATGGACTGTGTGCTTATGTAATGCAGCGAATTGAATTATTTTTTTCAGACACGAATCCTCTGGTCTTGTGAAGAACACAGCAACGTGCCATCGTACTGGTGCTATTTTAATAGAGATGTATGTCTGATTAACACGCTAGAAGAGTTCATTAATGATCTAGATTCAAGATGGCTGTCAGAATATTTCAACTCGGGTATAAATATACTGCAGGACAAAGATGTCAGCGTACTCGACACGCTATCGTCTTTTATGAGGAGAAGACAAAAAGAACTTTTAAACATGTAGAAGTTTAGAAGTGAACTTGGGTATTACTAGAGGTTTCGTATTTTTCAAGCAGTATAGGACGATTTATAAATAACAAATATGTATGAAACTGCAATATTTCATCAATGATATAAACATCAGTGTGTTCAAATTAATTAATAATTAGATAAAGTTGTACATTTGGTGAGATATGGATCTAGTTTTGCTTAATTTCATTCAAATATCACCCTACAATGTTGACATAAAGATAAAAGGCCTACGTACAATGTAAATTTAGATTGAACTACAAGATTATAGTCCAAAGTTATATAGAAACATTTTAACAAGCTAATTATTGTGCTGAATAGATAGATATCCCTTGCCATAAGATATCACTTGACTGATTCCTTTTTAATCTGAGGTACATAATACGAGTTAAATTGAACTATAATTGTACAAACTCACAATATTGCAAATTGCTATGCTAAAATGTTCTTGTTAAAACATCCTTTTGAGATATTATTAATTATTGACATGTAAGTATTATCATTATGTTATGTTATTTCATTTTGGTCACTTTTCTAAAGTGAGTAACTAATAATTACTATTATAAGATTCAAGTGTTGCAAAGCATGAACATGTATGCTCCATTTCAATTAATCCAATTACACCCTAGAATTTAATGTAATTTTTACTTACTTGGCAATGATACTTGTAAGATTAACATGTATCTCACATGAATTCATTAATTCTATAAAATCACTATCAAGGTTTTGAAAATCTAACAAATTACAGCTACGTAATGGTAAAGGTAAACCTAATATTCAGAAAACGATGTTTTGGTATGTGTGAACAAGTATATGGATGTTTTGATTTATGCAGGATATCAATTATTTATGATTATCAAATGACATAAATTGCCGCTTCATGTAATTGAATTATAATTGGAGTTGCATACATTGTTTTTATAAACTTGTATATACGAGGGTTGTCCCAAAAGTCCGTGACAAATTTTACAGACAGTTCATTTTTAACGCCAATAGATTAACATCAAAACATTCGCATTTTGTTATGAATAGGCTGAAATAAATTATATAAAGTATATTTTAAACGCATTTTGAAATGTACATCTTTATGATTTTAATGTTTCAAGTATTAACCTGTTACGATAGAAGGTTACTCATTCATTAACTTATGATGTCTGGTGTTTAATATTGACTTTTATTTATATCTAAATGTATTTCAGCATTTGTTTAATATATCCTTATATACATGTATGCATAATAAATATTTTAAAATGTTTTGATCAGTATTAACACCCAAATAAAGATAGGCCGATCTGATTGTTAAAGGTTAACAATATTACATAAAAGACGAGGTATATGGTCCACAACAATTTGCATATTTGTTGTAAATTACACAAAATGACTGTTATTGTAAATAATTGATCAGAAAACCCTTGGTATACAAATGTGCTATGTTAGCTTACTTCTTGATCATCATTAATTTTATTATACAATGTCCTATAAAGTACCTGTGTATATATTTTGACGTCGTACATAATGTGTGGTCCCAGCTAAATAATTCAATTAAAGACAAAAACTATATTGTGAGATATGCGCTCTTCTTTCTTTAAACGTAACTGAAGAAATTGACATATTTACTTAAAGTTTGAAAAAAATTATCAAATAACAGTCAAGTAATTTAAGCATGTATGATGAAGCCGATGTGCAGGGACTAAAGATAAATTGTCAGCAATTTCTCATACGTGAACAATTTTATCATTCATTGATGTTTTGTATTTACTATTAACTACAAACATTTAAGTTTGCCCAACAAAAATTCCGTGTGAACTGAAGGGAATTATGAAAAAAAAAAAAAAAAAAATATAAATGAGACTTACATAAACTGTAAGACAAAAAATTGATACATACCAATTTTCTTTTCGACTTCATTTCGACTTTAATAATAGTATCTTTAAAAATGATGATTTTTTAAATTAGCTTTTACGTACAGTTAGATATATATGCAATATCACTCATAGGAATATAGAATAGTAAACGGATGCTGGATAGTAAGTGTGTTCATGATGATCAAAGGGAGATTATTTAATGAAAATTTCATCCTAGTAAGCGACAAATAACTGTGATATGCATCCAATAAAAATCTTAACTTTCGATTTAACTCAGGTATTTTCTGCGAGTAGTGTTTTTTTAAATGCCTAATTGTGTCTAGCACATACAATAATATTCAATACATGGTTTGAAGTTTGTACTTTTGGTTTAAATGATTACATACATATATGCTGATAACGGAATTACATAAAGTCATATCTAAATTAAGAAACTGATGGCTTTCTCAATAAAAAAATCAGTTCAACGGATCCGTTGCATTTCTGATCAGTAAATTAAATAATGAGGTTTCAAATGTCTTGTTACATTTGGGGAGAAAGTCGGTTTGGAAATAGTGCACAACTACAATGCCATGGCATTACAAATCATGCATTTTGATCTTGTAGCTACAACAAAAAGTTAACGGATGAGGAAAGTTTGGATAATCATAAAAAGCAGATGCAGAAAAATGCTAAATCCCAGCAATGTTCAGGGTGTTGCCGATCGTTTGTTAACAAAGCTGACCTGTATAAACACAAAAGAAGCATTTATCACTGAATGAATGATGAAAGGGAAAATGAAACTAATCGTGTATTTTGTGACGATCGATGTAGTAAAAGCTTTAAATCAGCAAGTACGTTTACAGGTCACAAGAGAGATTGAGCTGCAAAAAAAAATGGATTTTCGGGACAGTGCATGCTGTAGTTGCGACATGACGTTTCTCGACAAAATGATGCATATGATTATGTCAAAGGAGCTAAAATAGAAAATTATAGAACTCGCAAACTATCAACGTGTTAAAAAGTGCGAGCTCGAGAAGTAATGTCTGTCTATGTATACAATGTAAATATTATATCTTAACTCGTATTTGTAACTTTTACCTGTACATTTAATTTTAACATGGCTCAAATACCAAAAACAAAATCATGTAAAGACATTATAGTTCTTAATAATGCTATGCTTTTACTATATATCTTATGATTCGGCGTGTTTTAGTGGTTTAGATGTCTGCCTTTCCACTCATGTTTCATGTGTAAGGAACTAACTCCGTTCACGAACATATTATCCCATATTATGCCAGCAATCGTAGATTGAGAGAAAGGATATCAATTGCAATATTTTGTTTCACAATAAATGTGATTAAAATCGATTTGTCTGAATCTATAATTTACATTACCAGTGTCATTAGGGTGCAGAAAATGTTGCTCAATTCACATCTTGTGTAGCGATATAACCGAAACAAGGCACACATATCTTAATTATCCATTTATTTGATTTTAAACACATGATCAACAAGCATTTGATAGTATTGCGGGCAATACAGTATTCCCCTACCGGTCCCTCAAAAAGTTCTTTAATTGTCATACACTCCTGTGTATTGCCATTTATAATGAATTTGAGGATGAAGTCTGTATTTGAAAATATCGACCACAAAACATAATAAAATAAGTTTGTATATATCACAGTAATGTGTTAAGTTTCCATGCTTAGTAAGGAAATTATGTTTATACAACCTTGTCATATTATTACGATGTGGGATTTTAAAGTAAATCCTATAAGGAATGAAGAAGTTGGAGTGAAAATACCAGTTTCTCGAAAAAAAACTAAGTTCAAGGGGGACATAATTCTGGAAATAGTCTTGCTAGAGTATTTAACCTTCTCAAAAATGTCGAGTGATAATAAGAAACATATATATGAAGTTTGAAGTAGATACATTAGGAAATAAAGAAGTTATTTAAAAAAGACAACATTTTCCCCCTAAAAAATCTAAGTTCAAGGGCGGTAATACTGATATTTTTTGTGCTAGAGTTATGAACCTTGTCACATATGATGTGGTTGATGACCAGAAACTTATATTTAAAGTTTGAAGTAAACACCTTAAGAAATAAAGAACATATAGTGAAAAAGCTGAAAAATTTAAATCAGAAATCTTGAAATTCAGGCTATTTGTTGCCATAGCAACCAGAATTTTCAACATAGGAAGAAAAGAAAAAGATGTGCATAATCTCCAGACTGCCATCTACCCATATTTCAAGTCTCATAAAAATATTTTCAGTACTTTTTGAGTTATCACTGGATCCAGTTTATGTGTTAAATTTGCCATATTTTCAGACTATTTGTTGCCATAGCAACCAGAATTTTCAACATAGGAAGAAAAAAAAAAGACGTGCATAATCTCCATACTGCCATCTATCCATATATCAAGTTTCATAAAAATATTTTCAGTACTTTTTGCGTTATCGCGGGATCCAGTTTTGTGGACGGACGGACTGACGGACTGACAGACTGACAGACAGACAGACGGACAGACGGACAGACAGACGGACAGACGGACGGAGGGTAAACCTAAAGTCCCCTCCGGTTAAACCGGTAGGGGACTAATTAAACAATTTAACAGAACTTTTAAAAATGTTTGTATGATTAATTCGCTACTCTTGTAGAAAAATATACATTTTTCCCATAGTTGGAGGTAAATGTAAAAGATACAGCTCTAGAGAAGATTGTCATAAGCAACACATAATTCTAGGAACAATTTTTATTTTATGGGCGTAAAGTTTAAAGTCTAATAGAACAAACCCTTACTTTGATATTTGAACTTTTGTTTGAAAACAACACATTTTGTACAATTTTAATTTATTTAAATGATTATTTAAAAAGTACAGTTCTATCTCCAATGAAGCATGCTTTTCTCATTTAAAATGATAAGTTCCCTTTGATAAATTTTTATTTCTAAATTATGTCCTATAATCATAACTACCATAATAAAAAGATGTAGTCCATTACGTTCTTTTTATCACAATTCATTCCTGAAGTTGTAAAACTTTTTCTGAATTTTGTTTTAAACCTCAGGACTTTCACAACCTCGTATCCTGTTGGTAAATTCAAAAGTAGTTTTCTTCTTATTTCATTCAACGCGTTGGAGCCAAATATATAAGGATTGACAACCCTAATTAATTACCTTCGCTTTGAAGAGTATTAAGGTAGGCTAGAATTACTGTCAACTGGACTGAAACGGAAGGGAATGGGTTGAACCTTTTTTCTTTTACAATTATCTACGTATCTCACGGGTCTCTTTTTGAAAAAAAAACCAACAAGTATTCAATTTTAAAATTTAGATAATGCTAAATTTTAATAACAAATATAGTACCTGATATCACCCAAGTATAAAAAAAGCAAAGCTTCACTATACAAGTATTTAAGATTTAAAGATATACTATGCTCATTCTTGAGTAAAATATTTTAATCGGAAATGTATAGAAATTATCTATGAAATTCTTAGCGAAAATGTCTAAATTTGAATAAGAATTAAAGAATAAATAAACTATGTATTGGAAGCTGCGTTCCCTCTTGCATGTCAGTTGTAGCTGGTCTTATCATAAAGTAAACTCCAGTTGTTTTAAAGACAATATTTAGATTGTGACCACTAACTGCTTGTAATATTCTAAATATAACATATCTACTTTGTGTAATGTCAAAAATGTTTTTTTAACTTTACAAGGAGATTGTATAGTAATAAGCAATTTTTTCTAATATTATTTTTCAGCAAAGTATATCTTCAACAAGTTCAACGCTTATACTTTAAAGAAAAAAAGGCAAACTTTGAAAACAGTACTAAAATTTGGTCAATTTTAATTTTATCAATGAGGCTCTCAAAGTAGGAAAAAGAAGTGTTAAAAATGAAGGTATGGTAACATTGTTATGAATACTTCAAATATTTTGAGTAGCAACAATCATTTTGCTTGTGTGAGTCGTAAGCTGTTATTATTTGTTTGTTATTTGTTTCTTAATAAAAATCAGTAGGAAACATTTTTCATAAGGATATTATAGATTATTTAAAGTTTCCTCGTTTCTGAAGAAAGCCATTCTACTAACCAAGCTTAAATTTAGAAGTGTCCACAACACGTAAACTGTACTATAAATTGTGCATACATGTGTCTTTAGGGCATATATCTGACTGATGTTGTCAAATTTTAAGTTCCTTTTAGTGCCTTTTTAGGGTAGTCATATAACACTTACTGGCACGTACTACACACCCCAGTATTTCTTATTGTCATACTTGATAAAATGTATATGAATTTAGTTATCATTGATTTTATTGATTTTTCTGTAAATCCTTCTATTTTGTACCTTGCTAATTTTGACCTTTTGGCGGAGGGGATGCCGCTACCGTTATCCGTGCGTGACGGTATG